CAGATGTGAAGATGTGTTTTCTCACCCGAGACCACGCATCGCTGCATAACGCAAACCATGCAAGGGAATAAATTATATTGAAAAAATAATGATTCATGGTCAGCTTCTCGCTTGCCAAAATGTTTCATTACGGCATCAAGGGTGTGCCGATAATCAAGTCTGTGACTGCCATCGGTAGGTTTACAAGTTATAAACATGAAATAACTTTGATGACATGATTATCAATGAACCCAAGGTTTTTCTGTGGATATGAGGATATAGCCTTGAGGTCAACACAGGCTGGCTACAACGCCAATTTCTTGACAACTTACCTGGAACACAGCGTATGCTCGCATGAGAGTATTACACATTCCAATATAACCAATGTTGTGACACCGAATTGCCTGGTTCGATGGTCACGATTACGACGATAATGATGACGACGACAACAATGACGACACGTCTCATTTTCCCCACACGCTCATGGGCTCAAGCGCATCGCTCCATAAATGCAGAGGTGACGCGCGGGTCACCACAGCAGCCACCGTGGCAGATGTCATATAATCCCAGCCTGCGATGTAATTGCTCTGGGTTTCCAATTATATTGTTCGTGCAGCTAATTAATTTTCAGTGTTTGGCCCTGCTTAGACCCCCTAACGCCCACGCCGGTCCAAATGCATTATCAAGTAAGGAAATGATCAGTGAATACAAATAATAGTAATAATTTTAACATCCTACAAACCGGGCGTTGTAGCCATCAATACACGATAGCACACAGGCGTCAATGGACAAATAAATGTCGTGGCAGGAGGAGATATGCAAGCGTCTTGCATGTATCATTTACAATCATATTTATCATTAGGCAAATACATGCGAAGCACATCAATTTGACATTCTGCACAAGTGTATAGGTTTCACATATGATTTTAATGGATGAATTATACCTTTGCTCAGTTCCAATATGTTCCACAGACAGTCTTTTAGCTTAGATTTATCAGGAAATGGTTACACATTTGTATACAATTGTGCATAATCGTTTGTTCGACAGGATGTGTTGTAAGACTTCTAATTCGCAATGGGAGCACTTTGTTGGACGGAACATGGACATAACTCCACCTCCTGATGTGTGTACACATCCAGTTACGCACTCGGCCAAGTGTAAAAGTTTCCAAATTAACATTCTGTTGAAATTATAAAACGTTTATGAGGCAGTCAATTTGCACACTGTCAGTAGGAAGCCATCGACGCAAGTCAAAAGTAATTCCTTGGACTCTGATTTCCCAACAACAACTAGGACATGCTTAAAACGCATAGGAAGAGTCACTATACATTTGTTTAGAATTGATTTATGCTGGATGGATTCACTGATATGTTACATATCATTTTATTTCCTATATACGTATTGCCCCAAAGGGGAATAACATCTATCCAGTCAACCCTTGTTAATTCGACACATATGGGGCTCTGTCCTTGCCGAATTATCCAATATTCTGAATTATGTACAACGGTACTCCCCAGTGCCTCCTACCACAATAAAACATTTTTCCAAAAAAAATGTTTCCAAACTCTTCACACACCACACGCGTTGACAACCCTGCATCAATTCTATTCAAAACTTTGGATTTGTCTCGCAGACTAAGGGATGTATAATACTTCAGTCCCTTTCAATGACTTATTGATGTAGGTGTAGACGACATTTCTGAGAGGGTTGGCTTGCACAGAGTGCACAAACAAGGTGAAGTCCAAAGCGACGGGTTTGCACTGACGCTCACCACGCTCACCACGCTCACCACTCTCACCACTCTCACCACTCTCACCACTCTCACCACTCTCACCACTCTCGCGACGCTCACCACGCTCACCACTCTCACCACGCTCACCACTCTCACCACTCTCACCACTCTCACCACTCTCACCACTCTCACCACTCTCGCGACGCTCACCACACTCACCACTCTCACCACTCTCACCACACTCACCACTCTCACCACTCTCGCGATGCTCACCACACTCACCACTCTCACCACTCTCACCACGCTCACCACGCTCACCACGCTCACCACTCTCACCACTCTCACCACGCTCACCACGCTCACCACGCTCACCACGCTCACCACTCTCACCACTCTCACCACTCTCACCACACTCACCACTCTCACCACTCTCGCGACGCTCACCACGCTCACCACTCTCACCACGCTCACCACGCTCACCACGCTCACCACGCTCACCACGCACGCTGCCACATGACTGAGTCATTGTTTTGGTCGTGGTGCGTGACGTCGCTCCACGTGTATGCCGAAATTGAACAATTCAGTACGGCAATTCAGCTCATAGCGACTTACTAATACTGCATATATGCCAAAAGCGCAGCTGTGCCGAATTATCCCCAATTACAAATGATCAAATACCGAAATAACGTTTTACTGTATCAACATAAGTCTTTGCAAAGATGTCTTTAATTAAAAAAATGGCCATAACACAAACAATTATTTCAGACGGTCTTTAACAGCCACTTAACACAAGTAGCGCTGACAAGTTACAAACACATTACGAGAGGCAGAGGAAGTCAACAGGTTATTGTATTTGGCTGATAAAATGTCCACATGATAAGCCACTTCAATGAGCTATCATTTGTGGCCAGGCCGCTTCTGAAAAGAAGCTACATAACTCAGTGGGCCCGAGCTGGTAAAATAATTTTAAAATGATGCACTGTACCATCTGGCTCCGTGGTAACAAACATGATTACCAACCTAGCCAGCAGTCAAAACATTATTTAATTCAACACTGCTTAAAATATCAGTGTCACATACGACATGCTTTTGTTTAATTTAACAAGATTATGAACCCTTCTTGGTTCTTTCGGTAAAGTCACGTAGAAGGGAAATAATAACATTATAAAAAATAAAACAATAAAATACAATTATTATGACGTTTCGGCCACAACGCAAGCAGCCGTCCTCAGGTGAAGACAGCGTCTTTCCGACAGACCTGTTCTTCACCTGAGGACGGCTGCTTGCGTTGTGGCCGAAACGTCGTGTGAATTTTATTTTATTATGTTTTATTAAGTTTTATTTTTATTATTTTATTATTTCAATTCTAAGTGACTTTACCGAAAGAACCAAGAAGATGAATCCCTGCAGTCACGAAAGCTTTAAATGGAAATCTGGCTTTATCACGAACACCTATGAACTGCGATTGTCAGCAAGGTTAGCTTAGTGCTCTGACCACCGAGCCTCTCAGCCAAGTCATTGTTGTACGTTTTAATTAATTACTAAATTATCAGTAAAGACAATGCACAATGCATCAGCACCTACAGCGCCATCCCCTTTAACACGAGGCTGTTTCACACTCTTTCATCTATGGGATCCTCCTGCTGCAAGCAACAGTACGCTTCACGAAGCCCACCAAAAAGATCGATACTCCCAGCTCTACCGATGTGTGTTTTCATCAAGTACCACGTCTTGATTTGCATTGTGTTTGATATTTCGCTCCGAGTACTGGGAACTTTTTCAGGAGTATCCGAAGCACACATCGGAGAGCACAACTAGAAAATGTACACAGAAGTGTAATGCGCTCGCACACAAACACGACACTCGCGTGCACACACCCGCATTTCTTTGTTGCCACTCACCAAGAAGGAAAAAAATATAAACAATAAACCAGCTGTTCCAACACGACTACAATGTTGTGCACCGGCCATTACGCCCAGAGACTCTCAATCGGCTCAAGTCAAATAGCCGTCTGTTCTCTGGGTGCCCAAGGTATTAATTCATTCTGAGAATGATGGCCAAGCACAATGCAACGACTCCCAGTGGATGCAAATAAAACAAACTGCAAAACACAATACTATTTTTCACACTCGTGCGCCTGGGGGCACGCAGAAACAAACACGTGTTGCTGAAAAGAACAACATTTTGGCGGCAGAAAAGCTGGAGAGGCTGGACATAAATGTTCAACAGCGACCAGCTGCACCTGCAGAAGTGCTCTGGTCCTTGATTTCCTCACTTATTCATGGAACATTGAGGGTTTTTTTTTTATTTCTGCATCTAAACCGACCTCGGCAAACGTGTGCTTGAACATTCATGTATTGTTTTCATGCTGTTTATTGACAGCTTCTTTTGCATGTTTGATAGCCTATTTATAGGCCACTTACAGTGGCGGCGGTGGTAGCAGCAGCGGACTGTGCATGCATTTTAAATCGGCGACTTTTCCCATCACCAGTCTATCCGCAAGGTAAATAACATTGCAATTAAAGGCAGCATTGATATTTGATTACAACGCAAGAGCACACAATATTCAACTATTCTAAACAAAACTGGATAATAATGAGATAAGGTTTAGTAGAGGAATCATTGCTATTGATTGATTTGTACAATAGTCTTATTTTTGTCCTGCCGATAATGCGACTCCAGGTAATGGAGGCGACAGATGCACAAACGAGCTCTCTGATTGTGAAATTGTCTGCAGCTTCTTTAAAAAGTAGGCCAGGGTAACATCTCAATCCGTGCTGATCATAAATATAAAGGACGACCCACTTAGAACGAATTTTATTCAGTTCTGGAAAGACTAGCCCAATATGGCCGACGTACAGACACAGAGAAAAAATAACTCATCTGGCTGCAATGTGAAAGAGTGCCACTTGAAGAAGAATAGAAGAAGAACTCCATTAAAATGTTGTGACATTCTTTGTATGTAGTGACAGCTGCTGGTGGATGTACTGATTAGCTACTAATACATTTTACTGCACAGCTTTGGTCATTCGATTCACATGACTCTGTGGTAACGCCATAGGCGGTTAGCAAAGATCCATGCGAGTTGCAAAGTAGATATTAAAGACCCTGGGATTATCTGTTGCAAAAGCAGGCCACTGCACGCTGTCACGACTCATGTACAACCGCAATTAAATCATCAAAAAGAAATCCCCTACGTAACTACAGCTAGCCACCACCCTCTTGCCAAAGCAACGACACAATCCTGGTCAGCTGCCAACCTGATTGAACAAAAGACGTTGCGCTCACCTCCTTTATACGCTGCGTGAGCATGTTCTGGTCAAAGGCTACCGCCTCGGCGCACTGCTGGAGGTGCTCCTGGTAGCGCAGACACAATTGCAGCACGCGGCGCGAGTCCATGCGCTCCAGACGCACACCCGCCGCCCCTCCGGCCACCGCCTCGCCGGGTCCAAGACCTGCAGCGCTATGGATAGCACAGACATCGCTGGTTTCCCACTACACACTCTCACGTCCCCTGGCCACCGGACATTCGTCACAGGCAGCAAACACTGGCAGTCACAGTTGGCTCAAAGCTACCACCGAAAGCAACACTGCTCGCTACTTTAGAATCCGATTCGTTTCGTCAAGCCATAAAGAATAATAATAATAAGTCGATGGTGAAAGGAACGGTAAGTTCAAGGCATGTTATTTTGTTAAATATTATCACACTGTTATTATTAAATGTTATAAATGCACGATATATTTTAAAATAATTATACTTCGCTTTTCCCCATATATACAAGGAGATGTTGCTGTCAACATTCACTGCAAATACATAAAACACAGTGCATCCACCTAAGCCTTAGCACTTACAAAAACAGATTCCAAATATAGAACTTCCATTACCGCGGTCACACACAGGGTATGGAAGACGTACATTTAAGCGCAAAAACAGTCCGGATAAAGGTCCATCACCGGCACCTTGCTTCGCATGAATAATCATATATTAAACAACCATACTTACTCAGAGACTTTAAGTACACACATCCGCACATGCGTACGCATGCACACAAACAGAAGTAAAGCATCTCACGGCAGTGGCAATGTGACGGTGATTTCAAATTAACTGCACGAGGCTGTCTGGAATCTGTAGAGGATGAGGTACAGCGGCAATAGGCTGGGTGTGTCTCCAAAACCCCGGCGCCCAAATCTGCAGCAGTGAGAACTGCAAAGTCTCCTGACGTATCACACTCCCGGCACACACAGGGCCTCTGTAAGACCCACCGAATGCGCTCCATTCATTCTGCACAGGTGTAATGACAGATTTAAAATGCATGCATATACTCAGTGCAAAACAAAGACCTGCCATGCAACAGTTGCATCCTCACAATTTTGTCACCAAGAGCTTACATTGTTTTTTTAAAGATGTGTAACATTAAGGAGTGAATTCAATTTACACTCTTTATGAATTTCAATGCAGCCCCAGCATGGCTCTCATTGGACTAAAGCGGTGTCTGTGCCATCTGCAGGAAATTGGTAGCAGCTTCACATGAGACCCAACATGAAATACAATCTATTTCCATGGAAACAAATGCAACATATATTTTAGAAAATAAGAGCCAAGAATATAAACTATTTATGAATGTAACTGCATTAATTATTACAGTGTCGTTTTTATCTAGTACATTTTCAAAATTATATTTAGTTTTTTCTTTGTTTTTTTCTAATCAGCAGCAATGTGACCTCACACAACAAAAGCTCGGATTACACATGACATTTTAAATCTTCAAGGCTAAACCTTTACAGAGTGTCAGTAAAGATATGCTTAACAGTGAATATTTCAGCTTAGTGCAGAAAAATAATGCATGCCATTTCATGTTTTGTCGAAAAAAGTGGAGAATAAAATCCGATTTGCCATCTTTTCAGCAATGTGGCGATAAGGCTATTAGCCATAGCGAGAATAGAATCGCTATACTTTTGTTTTCAAGAATACATTTGTCTGTTAATGACCGAATTTATTTATCTTGACATTGATAAAAGCTTAGTTTCTAAACATCTAAAAAGTAAGAAGATTTTCAAATCAAAATTACTGGGAAGGCAATGGTTCAAACAGATTGTGAAATACAAAAAATCTCCGAGATCAATTAACATGAATAAAAATATCTAAATTACATGCCACACACATATTTTCGGGGTTTTCTTCAAACGATGTAGTATGCGTACATTTAAATGCAAGAACACCCTTAAATTTAAGCTGCTATTTTAGCACTTTATGTCAAAACAAAATAACGTGTGCATTCCGGGCAGCCTCACCCCGCAGCAGAGGATAGAAGCGTGGAATCTCCTGGAGCTTGAGGAGCTCGGGGTCACTCCAGGGGTCACGGGGGGAGGTCTGAACGCCCGGTGCCACCACCACAATGTCCTCCATGGTGGCCCTCTCCTTTGGACGAGCACCCGACAGCGCTACCGCCGTAACAGCCAGAAGAGCAGAAACGTACGTTTAATCCTCAGAGGCGCTCCTGGTAAAGGTACAAAGTTAAAGGTGCAGCCACGCAATCGCTCGCTCACATCACTGCTCTTGGAAGGGGCTTCCCTAGATGAAGATCTAGAGCAGTGGTTCTCAACCAGGGGTACGCGGACCTCTCGGGGTACGTGGAAATGTCCCAGGGGATACGTGAGGTGATTTATAGATGTGTGAAAGTATATCATACATGAGTGTCATTGGTGAATAATCATGTATGAATCTGCCAATATAAAATTAACTACAATAAAATGTAAATATATGTGGTAACCTAGAACAATACAAAAGACCTTTCTAAACCCACTGATTGTAAACAATGTGGTTTCTGAGAGTAACCAGCGAGCTCAAACAAATTACGTCATGCATGCAGAGCGTCCATTGCATTTTTTTTTATTCGCTTGCAATTACTAGTGAGGATACCTCACAAAATGGACAATAGGTGAAATATTTATGTTCATTATTCATACACTTATTTCTCAGAACCATGTTGAGTCAGGCAAGGGGGCATTCGGTTGAAACAAAATTCAACAAGGGGCACAAGAAGCCAAAACAAGATTGAAAAACGCTTATCTAGGGGAGTCCCTCAAAAGGATATTTTGACCTCCTCTTCCAATACCGCACAGACATCTTGGAAGAGGTGGGATTATCCAAAATGTACCCCGCCACACACAAGCTGCGATGGGCAGTGACGTATCTCACACCCAGCTCGGCTGGCAGAGACCGGTGCCATTCAAGAAACATGGCCATTGTGTTACCTGCTGTACAACAACAACAATCGCCAATCGCCACTAAGTGGAGGTGACGTCACCATGACGCTTGTGCCAGGCTATGTGCACCTTGAGGCCACCTACTGTACAGGCACTCCTTGACATACATGACAGATGCGTTCCTGGAAAAGCGCGCGTAACTCAAAATCACGTATGTCAAAAGCAATTTTCCCATAAGATATAATGGTAAAGGAGGGGGGTTAGGGGATTTCACTCACACTCGCAAGCATAATCGCCTATATTATCCAAGCCTAAATCAATACATATACATGCAATATAATACTTTTAATAAAAATAAAAATTATGTAAATGCTAATATACTTCTTATAAAATAAGGATGCTTTCCTGACATGGTGCAAGGGTGAAACAAAAGCGGTGAACGCAACACAAGTACATTTTACAGCCGTACGATCACGAGAGACGCGAGACAAAGGGAAGGATGCTGGCGTACGCGTGGCGAGATGCTGTACAGTGAAGCACACGAGATATCGTATCGCACTGGCTGCTGGCAACGTCTTTGGGCCGCGGTGCCAGGCTAGGGTGGCATATGTCGCGTTGCGGATTACGTCATTCTGAAAATTACCTCGCGTATGTCAATAAAAGGTCTAAATACAAAGCGCGAGTTATTCCAAAATGCCTGTACTGGAAGAACGAACCGGCAATCTCTGGATTGCAGCCCAATGCGCTAACTAAAGCTAGCCAGAACCCTGAATCTATAATAACTAATCAATTACTTCCCCTTCACGAGTGATTAGTACAAGGGATGGAATAATGGTAAGTCAGTATGTAAGACTGTATGTAAACCATACTGTTATTGTGCCTTCATGGTTTGTATCCTTGGGTTTTTTCGGTAAAGTCACGTAGATAAAAAATTAAAATTAATAAAAGTAAAATAAAAATAAAATAAAAATCACGACGTTTCGGAGGCAACACAAGCTTCCGTCTTCAGGTGGAACCGTCACAGCACGATACAGGTAACGATACAGCTATCGTGCTGTGACGGTTCCACCTAAAGACGGAAGCTTGTGTTGCCTCCGAAACGTCGTGATTTTTATTTTACTTTTATAAATTTGTATTTTTTGCCTACGTGACTTTACCGAAAAAACCCAAGAATATGAATCCTTGCAGTCACGAAAGCTTCAAATCTAGAATGCATGGTCTGTATTGGTATTGGTCTAACATTGAACACAAACTGTTGGTTTGGTACAACAGCAGACTGTGGTATATGGGTTTGTAGACCATGGGATGGGACAGAGACAATGGCTGACATCACAATAGCACAATCACCCCAAAGTAGAGCATACACTTGTAATACAAAGGAAATTGCTAAACTTGTTTTATAACGTGTTACTCATTGCACATATTAATTGAAAGCTGCTAATATATGGAACTGTGGCAGCTATGCATAAGCAGTGTGCCCGGGTGACACTTTCTAAAGACCTTTGTCAATCTACTGCTGGTTCAAGGCACCCCATGCCGTGTCAGTCAAGGGGGTTATTTGACCATACTTGAGCACGCTGGTCAGTGAGGGATGAAGGGGGCAGCTTGGGGAACAGTTCTACATCACTTGCCACTGATGTTAGCCGTGGCCAGGAATAAAACCCAGGTAGCCAGATTTATCGTGCCACGTGCAAACCACGGCACTACTCAATTTAACACGTAGGCTTTCGCGACCAATATTATTCATAATATAGGTTTTTGGGTCAGATCGCGTTATTTATAAATGTGTCGTAACCCTCCACCACCCGACACGGCCAAACACTACTGCTCCACCTGCGGGAAACCCTTCAAAGGGAGGGGTGGATAGTCCGTGGGGGGCCACGAGCGGTGGTCTCACCCTGGGCGGGATGTCTCGCTGCCTCAAGGTTGCCCTCCTTGCCCCCCTCGGCGGTGCTTTGCTCAGCCCCCATTGCCTGGCCACGAGACGAGATGATCTCAGCCGCGACAAGTCCCTGTGAATACAAAGCAAAAACGACACAAAAGCTTGGAGTTTATGGATTTTAATAAGTCCTGATTGACGCCGACCCCGTTCTAAATTCCAGCCGTGATTAGGCCTCTAAAGTAGTTTCACACAAGATAATAATTTTCCTCCTTTTGACAAGTCACTGCAGAAGATCTCTCTCCAGGTCGTGTTTGTCACGTGGGATGTTTGAAGATACATCACCATGCTGGTCAGTGCAGGTTCGTAAAGGAGGGTGAATGTCAGGACCGGTTCAAATATCACTCGCAGGAAATTAATTATAGCTTTGACCAGGAATTGAACTGCGGGTCACCAGGTTTATAACCACCATGCCACCACTCCTCGGGTTCTCAGTGTACATAAGTAAATTTACCAGCTGCCCACCACTGAGATTGTGCGAGAGCAATCTGGGGCAATGATAGCTCTGCTGAAACAATTGTTAATTGTACTGCACATCGATTCAAAGGTACAATATTTTCAAGTAAAATTATGCATTTTGAAGAGCAATATATTATCCATATTAGCAATTTCCAAACATAGCTTAGCCGTTCACTGAACTTATAACTCTAGAGAAAATGCATTAGTTAATATTACAAGAAATCAAATTGTAAATCCAGTTGAACACTCGTGGTACACGACCCACTATAATCTTCTTGGTTCTTTCGGTAAAGTCACGTAGAATGGAAATAATAAAAATAAAACATTAAATAAAATAATAATATAATAATCATAATATAATAATACGTGACTTTACCGAAAGAACCAAGAAGATGAATCCCTGCAGTCACGAAAGCTTTAAATCGAGACCCACTCTAAAATTAGCATCGGTTTATTTCGGGTTAGGCCCATTGAGCTTCACAGCTCTCTTTCAATGGGCACCTTAGAGCAGGACTTTACTCTTAATGTTAGTATTAACTATGGACGTAACACAATTGAGAAAAATAATCGACTCTCCCGACAATGCGTCTAATCGGGATAAACGTGCGTTTTTGCATCGTTTTATAGGTGAAGTGGTCAGAATGAGATGGAACGGATGATGTTGGCGATCCACTGGGAAATGCAACGAGACAACGCAGTGAAGACGAGACGGTGACGTTACGGACTGTACACAGAAGTGACGACCGAGACGGTAGTTGTCTCAAGCGATATGCAAAACCGCACTGCGAACGACAGCACTGACAATCAACTGTGCAAACAAGATCACCGGTGCATACGAGACAATACAGACGGCATTGATTACTAAGATAGTACATAACATAATCCGTACAGACGATACATTCAAGAGTGTAGGCGATAGTACATTAGTACACACGAGGCAATGTAGGCAAGCAATGTATTCTTAAATATAATCGTGACAATTCACGGGTTTGCTATGGGAGTGTTAAACCGTTCTATGGCTAGCGTGGTAACTTTAATTACAGTACAGCATTAAGTTCGCGGCCGTAATTACAAAGTGATAACAACCCTGTAACATCAACAACCCACAAAGAATCACTCCAGTGCAGCCAAACGACTGGAATCTAACAAATGTGTGAGCTCGGGTATTCGGGTTAAGTAATCCAAAAGCCAGAACGGGACAACACGTGACTGAATAGCATACGAACGTGTGTCGGTCGGTGCCTTTGACGCGTGTAACAACACCGAGGCGTGCTTTAGGCTTTTGTTTGTTAAAGAGAGCGCCTAGTGGCGGAGACGACGCGATCAGGAAGCTCAGAATCAACTCTGCTGCACAGTGGAAGCAAGCCGGCCCGTCGAACAAAGGCTCCTTCCGGCTCACAGGAGGGGGCTCGCTTCGCCCAGAGGGACGCAGCGACGACAACCGACTGACGAAACCCCACGCGAGCAATGCGCATACAATCGAAAGGTGACATTTGTAAGCATCGAGTCGCCGTTGTTGTTGTTGTTGTGATGCTGAGCGAAGCACACACGCACACGCCCACGTGTTTACCCGGAACCAAAAGTCGCTTCCTGTGTCGCGCGGTCCGTGCGGAAACCGTGCGCTCGCGTGCGATTGGTGGGTTCCGAGTCTCAGCAGCAGCAGCTGTTGTTGTTGTTGTTGACACTTTGGCCCAACATTGCACCAGACGCCGCGTCCACACGTAGGTTTACTCCGTATTCTTGCACAGGGGAATTGAGTTGTGAGTTCTATACGGCGGACGTACAGGCGCTTCAATGCGGGCAAACACAAATGTGGCTGTGTTTCTCCCTTGTGATGGGATTTTGTGGGATTAACGCTGAAGATTTATAAGGGACACGGGGTGACCAGTAAGGTCTGCATTGGTCTGTAATAAGGTAGGCAGCACTGATAAGGGGTTGACAGGTATGTGTGTGGAACAGGAGATCATACAAACTCCACTCTGTGCATACCTGTCAAGACATACAGTTTACTCCATATTCTTGTACAGGGAAATTGAGTTTTCAGGTCTATACGGCATACAGCCGTTTCAATACGGGCACATTTTTTTGTGTCTATTTGTTTTTCTCCCTTGTGATGGGATTTTGTAGGAACAACGTTGATATTTATAAGGGGCACGGGGTGACCAATAAGGTGTGCATTGGTCTGTAATAATGTGGTATCGACTGCAAACTTGGTATACTTATGTCATACTGATGACAATACTATATTCTGCAGGGATTCATATTATTGGTTCTTTCGGTAAAGTCACGTAGAAGGGAAATGATAAAATAATAAAAATATTAAACAATAAAAATCATCACGACGTTTCGACTGCAACACAAGCAATCATCAGGTGTGAAATCCACAGCAAAGAAAATCGCTGTCTGTGGTGCTGATTTCACACCTGATGACGATTGCTTGTGTTGCAGTCGAAACGTCGTGATAATTTTTATTGTTTAATATTTTTATTATTTTATCATTTCCCTTCTACGTGACTTTACCGAAAGAACCAAGAAAAATACATATTTTAAAACATTATTTTGTATATATTATGCTTCTGCTTGGGTCTAATTGTGCACGCTCAACTGACGTTGGCTGTAATTGCCACGACCCCTGACGTCGTGGGGCAAACCTCGGGGTCACTTCCTGGAGTCGTGGAGTTTTGCCATTGCTAGTAGGGTACATTTCATTAAAGCGTGTTGTTATTATCACAGAGACTTTAGACTGTTACTGCACTGTATGTTATAAAAGGCCGGAACGGTGCTCAAGCAGGAGAAGAGTGCGGTGGCAAGAATCACCCCGGGCCGCCTTTGTCTCCCCCCCCCCCCTGGTGACTGAACTAGCACAGAGACGACGAAGTCACCACAACGGTTCAAGGCAAAGCCGCCACACGCAGGGAACGCAACCACCACACAGCCATCACCACTCACCACAACCTCACCACTGCCTCACCACTCACCACAGCCTCACCACTCACCACAGCCTCACCATAGCCTCACCACTGCCTCACACTCATCACATCCTCACCACTCACCACTGCCTCACCACTCACCACTGCCTCACCACCCACCACAGCCTCACCACAGCCATCACACTCACCCCACTGCCTCACCACTCACCACAACCTCACCACTCACCACAACCTCACCACTCACCACAACCTCACCACTCACCACAACCTTACACTCACCAAAACCTCACCACAGCCTCACCACTCACTGCCTCACCACTGTCTCACACCACAACCTCACACTCACCACAACCTCACCACTCACCACAACCTCACCACTCACCACAACTTCACACTCACCAAAACCTCACCACAGCCTCACCACCCCACCCCACCACCCCACACAACCTAACCACCCCACACTACCACACAACCTCACCACCCCACACCACCCCACCTCACCACCCCACACAGCCGTCATGCCCTTCACGCCCTTCACGGAGTTGCTGGCGAGGCAACTGGGGGCCCCCACGAGGAGCGCGTGGGGCCGGGTCGCCCGCCGCCTCTTCGAGTACAAAAACGCGCACCTGGAGCTGGAGGCGGCCACCCTCAGCGGCCTCGGCCCCGGCCTCTCTGCCCTGGAGGTCGGCTTCGGGCCCGGCCTGGGGCTGGTGGCCGCCTGCCACCTGCTGGGCCCCACGGGCACCCTGCTGGGCCTGGAGCGCTCCCAGTACATGCTGGACGTGGCCGGGGCCCGGCTCAAGAGACTCGCGGCCAAGGGGGGCCCCGCGGGGCAGGTGGCCGCCCGGGCCAAGTTGATGCTGGGCAGCGTGGGTGGTCAGGGCAGCGTGGGTGGCCAGGGCAGCGTGGGTGGTCAAGGCGGCGTGGGTGGTCAGGGCAGCGTGGGTGGCCAGGGCGGCGTGGGTGGTCAGGGCACCGTCGGTGGCACCATAGGTGGCAAGGGCACAGTGGGTCTGGACGAGGCCAGCGTGGACCGGGTGTTCCACTGCAACTGCTACTACTTCTGGCCCAACCTGGAGGAGGCGTGCGCCGAGTTGTTTCGAGTCATCAAGCCCGGTGCGTGGTGGTGATGTGGTGGTGCGGGGAGCGGTGGCGCAGTGGTTAGCGCTGCGCTTGCACTGCGAACCCGACGAACCGAGTTCGATTCCCGCTCACGGGCAACATCGCTGACGAGTATTTGAACCGGTGCCGGGGTCGACTCAGCCTCAAATGAGTACCTGGTGCGCTGTGTAAATATCGCCAACTGGGGAGACAAAGGCGGCAGGGTGTGGTGCTGGCCGGCCACCCCCTCGTGTGCCCATGCCGGTCTTCATAAGTGCTCGCAAACAGCGCTTGACCCAACAGACTGTGAAGGCTACACGGGGGATCTTTGTGTGGGGAGCGGTGGCGCAGTGGTTAGCGCACTACACCTAGTCTGGCACGTCTGACTGATGAATAGCGGTGATGGCAGCGTGTGTTTGTGGCTGGCGAATGAATGGTAGCTCTGGTGGAAGATACATCCATCCATGCAGGGCTGGGTAAATGTTGAGGTTACCAACATGAAGTTAAATGTGTTTTTTTTTCCAGCTATTCGCCTTAAACTCGGGTTGATTGGGGAACCCACGACTTTTAACTATTTCATTTGATTGAGACCCACCACAGTGAAAAGGACTGCAAATTATGTTGGTCAATGTGTGTGAGCCGCACTAATCGAGTAGGAGAATTTTATTTTATTTTAGCCCTTTCATTTACTTTAGCCATTGCAAGGTGCTCGTAGAATGGTATGCGCCCACAAGAAGTACTGTATATGAATGTCCTATTCGGTCCCTGAGAAGCACTCGGTACCTTGAGCGAAGCCTCCGACATCATGCCGAAACAGCACGCGGGTCTACATAAAAGCACATCGGAGAGCCATAGTTGACGAACCAATCCTGTTACCATTCTGTAATTGTACAGGATCCACAACATGACACGGTGGCGACTGCTCCTGTGTTGTCTCTCAGGTGGCCTCATGGTGACGACGCTGAACTTGGCATCCCTGAAAAGAACAGCGTCATACGGAGCCCTCAAGTACGCCTGTGGATGGGAGCCGGAGCCATACCTGGAGGCCTTGTCTCACACCGGCTTTGTGGATGTGCGCATGGAGGACCGACAGCATGGATCCAAGCCATTCCAGGCCATCTTTGCCACAAAACCAGATGTCCCGGCAGCGTCGGCTAAACAAACATGACACCCGCCACTCAGATACCTCTTTTCTACTGAACAACTGAGCCACCCCGGGGCTGTGCCGAGCTAATTAGGAATGGCTTAGGAGGGGTCAGGTTGTTTTTCCCTGCACAAATAAAGGCAAGTCGCCTACGTCACACGCAATGAAAAAAATGGCCCTGCTTGGTCCAGAGCCACATTCAGGTTGTCGTTTGTGGCCAGTTTCAGTTTCACTTTTCATTACCAATAACCAAATGAAAAAAAAGCTCAAAACACAGGTACTTGTTTGCAACTCTTTTCAGAACATAATAAAGGATTACTAACTGGAGGGGGACATTCAGTCAATATGGTTCATGAGCCAGAAACCGGCACCAAAAGTTAGTCCAAACTCTGTGGCTACCATTTGGGTTGGGATATTTTCTATGCAATCCAATTGAGTAATTTGACGGTAATCTTTCAACTTTGGATTGTGACGCCAGCACACAATTGCCTACTCTTGCTGAGAGATGTGCACAGGATCATTATTGTCGACTGTGAAGCAGACGGCGAGTATGTTTATGGTTAATACAAGCGGCAGGTATTGATCAGCTGCTAGCTTCAAACCATGAACTTCTGCAACAAGCGTCGAACACGCGAATGCTAGGCGATGCCACTGCCCCTTAAACATTTCTAGAACAATAAACATTTAACCTTTTGAATTGCGAAACAAAGGGAGCTGCCGTAGCGTAATGGTGAGCATACTCGATTTGAAATTCATAGGTCGCCTGATTCGATTCCATCTCCCGGGGCGGCAGTTAAACGTGGGGGAAATGTCTTAAATCCACCCACCTCTTTCCACCCGGCAGTGTATGTGGGTAGACCGCAGTCGTTTGGCAGGTCATGTGTGGTGGGGTAAAGTGTAAATACGCCTCCCTCTTCCAAGGACAGCATGGGCGAGGAGACCAATTACCTTCCAGTGTTCTCCCGTGGGCACTCTTCAGCAGTGGCGCAAGCAATTGCAGGGTTGCACCTTTACAGATAAACCAGGGCAAATGTACTTGGGCCGCCATGCCATTTGGACATTCGTGCATGCCAATCAGTGTATTCATTTCAATAATTTAGCTGTAAACGGTTGTGGGGTCCTGAATTTCAGAACTGCTGTCAATTATGAAAATGGTCACCGGTTTACCGATCGTGAATAACCCGAGTTCTCACTCAGCCTGGCCAATAGCAAAAAAACCTCCAATACTGAGGGCCCCGATCTGGCATGGCTCAGATGTGTCAGTGGAAAAAGAATGAGTGTCGTGATAGGTTGCATGGCGCGAACAAATCTAAATGAACTTCTAAGCCTGATTGATCGTTGAAGATCTAGAGCCTTCAGTTAAAACTCCATTTTGAATAACAAAAGGGCTAATCGTGGATTTTTACATTTCAAAATTGATCATTGTGTAAGAGATTATGCTTTTTAAATATCTCAAATTTACAGTTAAAAGTAATTACATTAAATATGCAGCTGCATTCAGACAGTACTTCCATTTGCATGTCATATACAGCAATGCGATATTGAATGTTGCCTGCACTGTCATACGTAAAACACCATACACTTCATACTTACGTTGAACAAAATTATGCCAATTATTCGAAATTGAATGCATTGGGTAACAGTAAGGAAAGAACATGTTTTTACCTAATTGTCAACGAAACCCTTGCCATTTCATCCATTCCACATCATGCTTCTTGCATAACACCTGCAAATCACTTGTATATTGAGGTTTTACTGATTATACTGTGTAAAATAACAATTTACAGCCTTCTATAAATCCATTGCATGAAGGGCTGTCCCCCTTTTAGCGTGTTGGTCGTGAGGGTTGACCATACTTCACCATGCTGGTCATTTTTAATTGAAGGGGGGGGGGGGGCTCAGAATAGGTTCAGATGTCACTCACCACCGGGGTGAGCCGTGCTTTACGGGTTACTGGTTTCAGAGCACAGCACAATCCACTGAATTTGACCTTTCTCAAAACAACAAGAGTCAAAGATCATTTGAAATATTCCACCGAGATATAAGGTGTTGTGTATTGTCGTATGTCCAATGTGCCACATCAAGCTACCAGCATGATGAAACTGCAAACTGAACATTGTACCATACTGTATATGTAGCACCGAATTGTACTGTGATCAGACTAAAAATATGCTCCAGCCAAGCTGATTTATGTATTTTTTTTACTTAAAACTTTCGTGACTGCAGGAATTCATATTCTTGTTTTTTTCGGTAAAGTCACGTAGATGTTGCGATGTGTAAACCCAATTCACTTGCGGGTATTTTTTTCAGCATTGGGATGTTTGTCCGAACACCAGTTATATTGTTTTTTTACTTAGCTATTGCAGTAAAATGTAGCACCCAGATGAAACCGATGCATTTATACAGGGTGATGAACATGCAAACCTCACACAAAAGGCACCCGGGTCAGGAATCTAACCCAGGGAGTTCTTGCTGTGAGGAACATTACAACTGCAATCACCCTGCTGCCCAAATGATAATCCATCCAGCACTAATGCTAAATGGTGTTTTTTTTATATAGTGCATGGCACTGAGCTTCAAAACAGATTGAATATCACAAGACAATGTGCTTTAATCAAGACGATGCATGTAATAATAACACGTACACTATACGCACACTCCAGCGATCTCAGGCTGGCAAAACCATTTTGCTTTGAAATGTGAAAATCACCATCATACACCGTTATTTAAAAATAAAATATAATTGTTCAAATAAACTACTGGCCTTTTAAAAGACAATTTGCATACAGAACACCTTACATTTAGATGGGTTGGTTTTTATATTATTCATGTAGGTTCACGAAAAATCTCATTCAACAACACTCCCAAGAGAAATGGCACATGACGAGCAAACAGCACGCACACATCCCGCAACCCCGAAAGGGACAAACATTAAACAGTTATATTGGAATGTCAATGTTGAAATACCAATGTCAGGAATATATTTCAAGTACTGCAACGACACTGGGGTTAAGGACACATCCACAAAGACAACGAACAATGGTGGAAACACACTGGCAAGAATACCATTCAAGTGTCACAAAACTCACAACGAAAAACACGCCGCAAGGAAACGACCACCACGAACCATAGCATCATCCCTCGTTCAATTTCCTCTGACTTGCTGTCGGAGCAAAACAAATGTCATCAAGCTCATCGCATGGCAACTGTCAATCATCGCGCAGGTGACGATCAGTATACTAAGGTGTACCCCGAAGAACTGACCAGCAGCACTCCCTCATAGTTGAATGTTCTGGGGCCAGAGTAGACGATAACATCATAATCAACGTTTTTGGGTTGAGATCGCGTTATTTATAAATGTGTCGTAACCCTCCACCACCCGACACGGCCAATCAGTTAAAAAGTGTCACGTTGACAAAAGACAAATAGTTCACTGCTTTAGCCCACTGGTGTGTTGAAGCCACAACATTTACAATTTGAGTACTCAAATTGTAAATGAGTACTCAAATTGTAAATGTTGTGGCTTCAAATTGTAAATGTTGTGGCTTGAACACACCGGTGGGCTAAAGCAGTGAACTATTTGTCTTTTGTCAACGTGACACTTTTTTACTGATTGGCCGTGTCGGGTGGTGGAGGGTTACGACACATTTATAAATAACGCGATCTCAATCCAAAAACGTTGATTATGAATAATATTGGTCGCGAAAGCCTACGTGTTAAACGATAACATCACTTTGTAACAGAGTCGAACGTTCAGTTTACGATAAGATCCGTGTAAATCCGAGTCAACGAGTGGTCAGGACGACTTGTAAGTCAATCATAACTGATCATTATGAAAATTGTAATATCTAGCAACAATTATTTTAATCATTCATATCAGCAACATTAATCAAATACCTTAGCTGCAGGCTGGCTTAAAACGCCTGGATGCTTACATGTATTTCTGACATGTGATTGGTATGTAAGTTGAACTTCTTTCGCAGCCGTATGTAGCCAACTGTGATAATCGGAGGTGCGTACACATCTGTCAGTCGTGGGAGTGATGACATAATCCCTAGCAACCACTCCTACAACAGTACACTTCACCGTGATACCCCCAATTTACTCTGACTTAAGATCCCTTTTCTCCGACGATGTTAATGATCATACGACTATCATACCTGCCAGATTTACAGCAAATCTTAATATAATTTTCTTTACTCTGGCCCCCGACCACCTTAGTGTGAAGAACCCATTGTAAGTCTGATTGTAACAATAGCCATGGTGAAGTCTGACTGGACATCGTTGCCAAATGCAAATACAAAATATGATTCCATTCCATCTGGGTGCAAATCGGGACTCCACGTGTTTAATCTCATGTTTGGCACCTTTTCGTCCATATATGGTAGCACAAACTAATCTAAGCAAAGCCGTTGCAAGAAACGACAGGACCAGGAGTCAGAATATCAATTTAAAAATGACACGACTGCAGAAATAGCAGCAGCATCAGCCTAAACGCTGTTTCAGGCCCCGAATAATGACTGGTGAAGGTGATTATGAATGCCCAGCAATTCACAATGTAGTGTCTAACAATAAAGGACGCTCAGGATGGAAAGAGAGAACTCAATAAGTATCTTGCGCTAAAACCGTTTCAAGAGTAAAGCGCTCTTCATATTTGGCCACATGTTATGAATTGCACGTGTCTACAGATACAGGAGAACCTCTGGTCACGACCATAATTCGTTCCATAACTTTGGTTGCAACCCAATTTGGTCGTGACTCGAACCTAATTTCCCCATTGGATTGTATGTAAATACGATTAATCCGTTCCAGACTCCTACGAACGGTATATAAATATTGTTTTTTAAAGATGTTTAAGCACAAAAATAGTTCATTATACCATAGAATTCATAGTGTAATAGTAAACTAAATGTAAAAACATTGAATAACACTGAGAAAACCTTGAACAACAGAGAAAACTAACATTGCCGCGTCAAGGTTGAGAATCGTTCAACAAGATGATTGTTTCGTCTGCTACATCAGTCGGTCGATTCTGAGAGAGAGAGAGAGAGAATATTCGTATGAGCAATTCATGTTTCTATTGAAAGGAAGTTAACAGTAATATTTGGGTACAGTATTGTTTTTGGAAGCATTCGCTGTAATATCGTATGAACGTTTACTTCACCGCATCATCGTATGAATGATGCGAGAAGAGATTAACGGGTTCTTATGTTAGCGATTTACGTACTCAGCGCTTTCGCTCTCTAAATTACGGCTTGAATGAGGGGGGAGGGGTATGACTACACTCACAAAATTAATATCTTACTAGGAATTTTCCTGTTGTTTGTTTTATTATTTCCCTTCTACGTGACTTTACTGAAAGAACCAAGAATATGAATCCCTGCAGTCACGAAAGCTTTAAATCGATTTATATACTCTTAGTTCTTTCGGTAAAGTCACGTAGGTAAAAAATGAAATTAATACAAAATAATAAAAACAAGAAAATCATTTTTAAAATGTTTTATTAATTTTAATTTTTTACCTACGTGACTTTACCGAAAGAACTAAGAGTATGAATCCTTGCAGTCTCGAAAGCTTCAAATCTAGAATCGATTAATATGTTTGCTCTGTATCATCTATTGTTTGTTTGTAAACAAACAGGAAATTTGGCGCTTACAAAAAAAATGGCGCGGAAGGGGAAATCGGCCGCGGCCGTGTTTGATCACCACCCGAGTTTGTGTTCGTGACCAGATTCAAAATATTTTGTGAATTTTTTGGTCGGAACCCGATTTGGTCGTGGTCAGAAGCGTTCGTGACCAGAGGTTCTACTGTATAGATGAGTCACAAGTTAAGAATAGATTTTTGTTAACAATGGTCAAGGCTGCAACTCGTGGCTGCAGGGGTCATGTGAATCCATTATGAGACACAAATGAAAAACATCGATTTATATATTCTTGGTAAAGTCACGTAGAAGGGAAATAATAAAATATGAAACAATAATCTTTTTGTGACTTTACCGAAAGAACCAAGAATATAAATGCCTGCAGTCACGAAAGCTTTAAATCGATGTATATGTTTGTTCTGTATCATCTATTGTGGGCTTAAGCATTTATTTTAAATATTACATACCTGTGTGCCTGGATGGGCCAGGCAGTTGTGATTATGGATACCTCAGAACCATAGCTTGACATTTGTGACTGTATTAGTAGGCTCACCCATCTAAATGGGACATTTTTGATATTCACATGATGTATTGAAATCAAAAGAAACTAATAAGTATATGCACCAACTTCAAGCAAAGAATCTCTTGCCATAGAGAAGGCATCAGTATAAACACAACACACGTGGCAAATTTGGCTACGAACAGCTTCCGGGCAACCTGAAATTACTGTTGGCAAGTACTGAGTGAAAATAGTACACTGCTAATATAATTCTACCGAGTAGTTTTAATATATATTGGTGATAACCAGGATGAAACAGGTGTCATTTATTTATTTTTTACTTTGGGCTCTGGACTCAGCCAGACTCAGCTCAAAAAAGATGCAATGCAGGGTACAACAAAAATCCACCCTGCCCATTCTGGTGAATTTGCACCAGGTTAACATAAAACAATGTTTCTAAATCTAACAACTGTTTACAGCTAACCATGAGCGAAATGTAAGCCTATTCCAAATGTATAGCCACAATATTTATGGTCACGTTCAGCCCGGGCCTGTGACAGAATTCCAGCCACATTGCAGCAGTGGGGGGGGGATGGTAGGGACATCAAATTATTTTTTCATGTATTGCTCTACCCCAGAACCTCAGACTGTGCTGGTTTATTACCTCAACATGGTAACCAAGTCACCAACATACCATTATGGTTTATATTTTCAGAGATCTCAAGAAACGAAATAGATTTCAGATTGTGAACCCACCCTGAACACTCTCTCTGAAATCCTCCCTTTAAAATCAGCATTGAACCATCTTCGACGAAGCCAAGGTGTCTAAATGAGATCTACTAAAATTGATCCAGAGGCCGCACGTCATCACTTCTTGAGCAGCTGCTGGAAGCTCTCGTAAACCTCCGGGTTGCTCTCGGCAAAGTGCTCCGCCTTGTTCTGCTCCAGCCAATCAGACGAGTGGATCTGCTTCCGCAACAGACCAATCAGGTCCTCCAGGGAGTCGGAGGGCAGGGCTGAGGCGTTTGGTTGGTCGCCTTTCGATGTTTGGGCAGAGTTGGTAAGTAACTTGAGCTTTGGTAAAGCACTTTCCAGCCTGTCCATACCTGCATGCACACAAACACACACCAAGACGCAGATCCTCATCTAGCCATATGGACTGTAGAGATTAGTGTTGGTCATCATCAGGCAATGATCAAGTCACTGTCGCCATCTCTCGATCTTACAATGCATCAATCCAAGCGACTTATGCACACCAGCTGATTGCATTGCTCCATTTCACGGCGGAGTGGCAGCCAAAGCAGGGAAGAGGGGCTGTTAGTTACCACCTATTATGGTCACATAGCACATCTCTTCTTGGTTCTTTCGGTAAAGTCACGTAGAAGGGAAATAATAAAAATAAAACATATTTTTTTCTTTTATTATTTCCCTTCTACGTGACTTTACCGAAAGAACCAAGAAGATGAATCCCTGCAGTCACGAAAGCTTTAAATCACATAGCACATGTTGCCTGAATAGGATTTCATAACTGCGATAGCTACATGTTTAATAAGGCGAAGGATTTGCTACTCATGGCAAGAATCAAACCCTGATTACTGCATCACGGCACCCCAAAGGCGAAGATCTCCCGTTTCGCCGTAACAGACTGTAGGGGCAAGTGCTGTTAGCCAACATCTATGAAGGTCGACACGGACTACAACAGGGTAGGTGGCCAGCACTCTACCTGGCCGCCTCTTTTCTCGCGAGTAGCGATGTTTACATACCACACCAGGTACTCATTTGAGGCTGAGTCGACCTAGGGGATGCCCAGGAACCTCTGGAACCTAACTCACTCGTAAGTAGAGGAGTTCCTGTATAGTGTTGCTGACACAGTCGTCTCCTGTTCCGTCCGTGACCTCCCGTCAGCGAGCCTTCGACACGTGGCCTGAGAGTGCACCTGGCCTGGCACAGGCGCCGTGGTGACGTCACCGTCACTTAGTGGCGAATGGCGTGCGTTGGTATTGTGGTTGCTGACGCAGTGTTGGATAGGAGCTGTGCTCACCGAGCTTGAGTCGAGTCATGGACTCGGCAAAAACGAGGCGCACCCAGCCGGGCTCGGGGCAGTAGAACGCCTGTCCCGGGCTGATGAGCACTTTGGACTTGATCAGAGCAATCCACATATCCTTCTCCGCCTCGAACGTGTCACTTTGCAGGAACTGGGGTATACCCGCAGGAAAAAACGGGCACAGAAAAAAAGAGCATGTTTGTGCCATCGCCTCGAGCAAAATAACTTAAACATTCATATATCGATGGTGCAAATAACATGATTTTAATTTATTAAAGCGCTAATTATTTCTTATTGAATCATTCAATAATCATAGCAAAATATTGCCAAGAAGGACGTCAGCGAACGGGGGGCGTGAAAGCTGGATGGCCCGTGATGGTCCGAACAAAGAATTCGCTGAAAACCCGACGCAGGAACACGCTGGTTTCAGCCGGCATAGGAGACAACGCACGGCAGGCACACATGAAGACTTAATAAGTCACCCGATTATGAATGTGATGAAGTACGATCTGTTAGTCTCGTAACTGACGACTGCCCATTATACACTTCATACTGAAGGTCTGAACGTTATGCATCAACAAACTCCTGGTGCCATCCAATGGATCACCAAACTTTACAGTTACCGTTTTGTCAGTTTCTTGTCGAATCCCATAGGGAAGAAGAAGATAGCACACCCAGGATATGTTGTGCTTAGCTTGTTGTACTTCTCCCGCACCAACAATTAGCACGGTTGGCTACATTCGGTGCGAAAGAAGCTCAACACACACTCAACATTGGGTCAAGCTCACTTTTATTATTTTCCACCTTTTCATTTTTTTTTATATTAAAAAAAGTGCCCACTGAGCAGCGCTTTACCTGCCGGAAATCGGCCCAGACGTAGAGGCCCGACGCTCGGTCCAGATATGGCACCCCCATGGCTCGCAGGCGGTCCGTCATGTAGCGGTGGGCCTTCCGCAGGCGTTCGTGATTCGTGGGCAGGAACACGCGGTCAATCCACTCTGCGGATGCACGCGCGAGAAAGGCATCCATTATTTTATTCATTCATTCATTCGTTTATTCATTCATTCGAGGTAAATGAGTCTCACCCATTTCAACAAAGCCCACGTGTTCCGCTGCTCGATTGATGGCTGGGTGTTGGTGGCAGGGTGGCACAGTGGTTTAACCAGTGCCTCACAGCAAGAAGAGCCTGGGTTTGACTTGTGACTCAAGTACATTTCAGTGGTTATATGTTCGCCCCCCTGTTAGGCATGGGTTCCCCTCTGGGTTCTCCCGTTTCTTCCCAAAGAGAAATGCATACATACATGTACATAATTGGTTTTGACGAAACATCCAATTGCAGGGCCCTCCAAAAAAGAAGAGTCTAAAAACTCAGTGCGGTTATCCTAAGTAAATAAGTAATTATTATTATAATCTCTACTGGCTTCCCTGAGCCTCAGTGGACATTCGTGTCCCCAATGGGTTTAGCACCAGTGTCCTCTAAACAAATGATGTAAATACATCAGATTGTGAGTCGTTTTATTGCCCCAGATATATGACGGTGATGATGAACTGGCTCGATCCTGGCTTCTAAGTAAATAAAATGCATGAAATTACATTTATGAAAATGCAACAATAACGACAAAATACATTTTCTAAAACCTAAACCATGACAAAATTGTTCTTAGCGGCTTCGTTACAGCGTCTTAGGGGTGTGTGAATGTGGCAGCCGTCGGGGTGGTTAACTCTGATGGCCGTGGTCACCTCGGTCCCTGAGAATCTGCGACACGGAGTACTGCAGCGGACCCGGCACGCCATGCACGTATGCCACCTTGCCCAGGGCACGGATCACGTCGCGATTCTCCGTGTAGAGCACGCCCACACGCAGCCCCGATGCGGCAAAGTCCTTTCACACGCGGGGCGAAAAGTGTGGTCACACAGAGCACGCGTTCCACAAGAATCGCTTTTTGTGTTAGTTTTTTGTACCTTTTACCGCACCTCCGAATAGCACAGTTGGCTACGTATCGTACGAAAGTTCAACATACAGTAAAACCTTGGATTGCGAGCATAATTCGTTCCGGAAACGTGTTTGTAATACAAAGCACTCGTATATCAGTTGTGATCACGTGACGCTCGGCGAAGCGTATACACGTACTACTCGTATTGCAAGACCTCGCTCATTTATCAAATTAATATTTATTTAAAAAATTTGCTCGTCTTGCAAAACACTCGCAAGACCAAGTTACTCGCAATCCAAGGTTTTACTGTACATACATGTACACAGAAGTCTGTAAGTCTTCCCGGTAAAATAAAAGTTGCAGTGTTTGTCAGTTGCGTGATTAAAGTACATCACTTGAGACAATGCAATGACACGCAGTTTTCCCCTCTTCTGTTATTGTCTGATATTCTCAGAGGTGGCAACTCTCATCAATTCTGTGAATGACGGGAAAAACCCATCATGACAGAATAATAGTGCGGGCTGTAAACCATCAGGTTTGAACAACACGCAGATGTGTGTGAAAAGTACACAGCCTTTGTGCATTATGCAAAAAACATCAGCATTTTCTAAAGTGCATTGTGTTCCTCTTGCCTGAGATCACCATAAAAAATAAACCTGAGCAAACATGCTGTTGTTCAAATATATTGTGATGGTGACCTAAGCCAAGTGGACCACAATGCACTTCTTCAGGAAATACATTTTATTTTCCGATATTTTTTGTTGCATAATACAATAATACACAAAGACTGTTTGCTTTTTACAGTGTTGTGTATTGTTTGAAACTGGTGGCAATTCTAATGGTTATCATTGTCATGGAAACTGAATTTGGCCTTTAACATGTTATTAGTGCTCGGAGAGGCCGCGAGTATTGAGGTAACTACATCAACATATAATCATTACCATCACCATTAGGGCTGTACAAGTGTTACGCAAGGTTTAACAAACGTAAGATTTACCTTGCTGAGGCTCCACATCACGTGCGTGCGGTCCGGGTCAGGAAGACTTTCACAAACAGACGACAAAAGGAGTCAATTGACACTGTGGCGACGCCTTGGTCAAACTTTTGCGTGTATGTCGTGTGTGTCACGCTGGGCTACTCACTTGAACTCATAACAGGCACCAGGGTACCATGTACCATCAGGTGCATTCACTGGGCTCCAAGTCAACCGTACAACGTTTACAAAATCTCTCTCAGAATATTAAAACCCACACGCGGCATACTTCTGTGACCTCAAACTGATCCTCTGTGAGATCACTTCCTCCTGCCCTTCTGCCTGCCCTATCAATGCTAGAAAACACTGTTTATTTTCTCCACCTCGGCAATTAATTACCTGTGAAGACTTAGCAGGACCCTCCTCAATGAGACTCGGTGAGGCTTTTCTGGATACACAAGAGTAATGATAATTTTCAAAAATAGAATTGTTTTTACGTAAGGAGGTTGCTTCTGCTGCTCTAATAGCATGGAATGAGCTGCCCCCAGTATCTACAATTTGCTAAATGGGCCGTCTTGTTCCCTATGTATGACAGAAAAACCTTCATTGACTTCACCCATTTAATTCCTTTATAATTAACATTGCATTTGTTATTCAATTGCCTGATTATATTCCATGTTTAAAGCTTACTCGTTCCTTGTAACACCCACAAATACACTGCCCTGTTGTGACTGCAGAATCTGTGGATACATCTGTATGATATAGTAACTGCCACATTACATAAACAAAGCTGCATTGTGTTGCACACGGAGAAAATATCACAAAGCCAACATGGGCACAAACCGGTCAAAGCTGAGGACACTGGTGAACTTGGGTCCCTTGATGAAGATGGTGAGCATGTATATCTCATCCATGATCACATGCAGCTCGTGTCTGCAACAGCACGTGGGCGCTCAGTTCAACGCTGGAATATTTAGCAGTACCTTCATATTTAGTCCACCCAGCGGGTATAAAATGGCGACACCGCAGTCAGTCGTTCGGCAGGGCCCGTGTGGTGGGGGGTTTAGTGTGGTGCCCGCACACTTAGCCTAGGCCTAGCGCATGTCCGCCAGCACTTGTGTGAGTAAATCATTTCAGGGCTACACCGTTACCTTGAACAAGAGGCAATAAGCGATCGGCTGGAATGCGATCGATGTCGTGAGATCTCCAGGAAGCGAAGCGGCATTCACCCTGGAGAGTGCTCCGATAGGCGACCACCGTACCATTAAATATAGAACACGTATAAAAACCCTCATTAATTGGCTGAAAACATCGAAATCTATATGCACCTCCGTGTGCTGCAGATTGTGCAGCGTCGTGAGATGCAGCTTGCGTGAATGACGGAATATAAACACAGTCGTTATTATGAAACGGGTGTTTGTAGGCTGCTGTAGGGCTAAGTTGTAAACAGGGATACATTTAGCAAACTACATTTTGTACTATACTATGCCCCTCCATCTTTGCCAACACGCACTAACCGGCATTGTGAAATATTATCAAACATCCCCCATCACCCGCACGGTGTGAGGAGGCCCTCATCCAGAAGTGGCTGTATATGAACACACATATTGTTTTTAGAAGTGTATTTTTTTTACATTAAAGCAATATTGTTCTCACAGTGGGTCAAAGCGGCAGTATGGAGTTATCTGAAACGAGTCCAATAAGTAACTCAAACACAGCGAGCCAACCCATGGGGAAAGAAAAAAAACGCAGAGTCTGCAGCAAGTTCACGCTCTCCAACAGGAAGAGTCCACCCCCCCCACCCCCCAATGTCATGCACAATCGATCACCCAATCCCCAGCCCGACCCTAGTCGTGCCAAGGAGTATAAAATCATCAAAATAACATTTGCGATCACAATGCACATGCCGATGCCCATTATAGAGTTTTACGAGACCCATTCGGAACACGGCGCAGCCAAACGAGCCGAGCCAAACAGCCGCATCTTGGCAAACACTTGCGGCCCCCTGAAAACAAACAAAAAAGAGACGAGTGAGCAGAACGCACCTCTTGGCAAACTCCAGATAACTGAGCAGAGCGTCGGCTGGGTAGATGTCGCCCAGGGGGTTGTTGGGGTTGATGAGAATAACTGCCCTGATGCGCATGCCCTACAGGGCAAGTTACGAGAGAAACACGGCCGTTATTTACCAACACGGTCCCAGCCGCCACGCAGTCCCCGTCTGCCGATACAGCGTCGTTTCGTTAATAAGACACAAGTTCAACTTGCACGTCTAAATGTGCTGACCCTTCACGAGACTTTGCTTGAAACTAATACAGTAATAGCCTAATTGGACAAATCAAACCATGGGATGGGAGAGCAATGAGTGAGGACTCAAGACAGGCGTTTGAACTCTCGATTAATTGTACTTAAGCCAGTTTATGCCATTTTTTTTATAACATTAAGCGGAGTGGTGATGTCAGAAAGGGGCCGTCAGGCTCTTGTATGTACGTATGTTTAACTTCTTTCACCCCCCGCCAAACCTCCTACGCATTTCACAAGTAGTACTAATCGCATATCTGCATTTCCCATAAATATGCTAAATTCATCTTGATATGCAAATGCTTTTGTCAAGGTGCTCTTCCCCCCTCCATCCCAGCTTAAAAAGACGCTCCAAGCCTGGGGTGTGTCATTCAGACTCTGTCTTCTCGACAGACCTGTTCTCCACCTGAGGACGGCTGCTTGCGTTGTGGCCGAAACGTTGTGAGAATTATTTTATTATGTTTTATTTTTATTATTTTATTATTTCCATTCTACGTGACTTTACCGAAAGAACCAAGAAGATTCTTTCACACTGTACGTAGCCAACCGTGCTAATCAGAGGTGCGGGGAAGGACAACAAACTAAACGCACGCTGATTATCCACCCTTGCATTATGATAGAACCACCATGCCGTCAATTACTCCAAACACATTTTTGAAAATTTAGGTAATAAGCTATTGAGAACTGTCAACATGTGTTGGTAATGTCAGGAAAATATTCATAAACACGATGTTATGTTTTGCAAAGCGCATATAATTATCATGGATCTTATATAATACGAGATATATTGTAATATCACCATACCACGGCAACCTTACCAGCGCCACACAGCCCCTGCGTGTCGCTGCAGGCTCGTTTCTGTGAATTGCACAGCTATTGCTTTATCACTCTCTCCGTGGCTCATCAACCCAGCGCCCACCATTCCATGTCCCCAGCGCTCAAGCCTAATATGGCTGCTCTGTTACGATCTTGCTGTACGGGGGGGGGGGAAGCACAGATAGCCATGATGTACGTGGACAAAAATTGAAACAACTTTATCGGTACCGAGGCTCCCACAAGGCCATGCGGGAGGCCGCCAGCTGTCATAGAATGCGGTCGTGTTGCTACAATTCTCTGTGGTGAGTACAATGTCTTTAAGAACAATGAGGCTATGCCGCTGAATAAAATTTACGCCAACCGCTTGCAAATTCAGAGATCCAGCGGCGAAGGGGACCCCACCCTGCAACTTTCAGACGTCTCGGAACGGGAAAGGGTTAACAATGTGGACGTGGTGGTTGGGCAAAGACGAGGACCATCAGGTGGCAGGAGCTGAACGCAGTCAGAACCAATGGTTGAGGTTTAAGTGGCACTGACCTCCTTTTTAGCAGCTTCCAACGCAGTCTCGAGTTTTGGCACCGTGAGCTGGAAGGGATGAGTCTCATCTTCAGACGGCTGGGAGAGAGAAAGGTTTTAATTGCGGTAATTTTTTTTTATATTTTACAGATCAGCTGGCACTTACCTCCATCTTCCGAAATGGTGACGCATTCCAGCGATCCATCACTCTAAAAGGACGGATTTGTGGATCGCCTGAATTTGGAAACTCCCAAACTCGCCAGGCTGTGCGGTCACCAGGAGATGACAATACAGAATGGATTCTGGAATCCTTCTGTGCACGCCTTGATTATCCCCTTGTAATTGTGGGGGTTTTCTCTGGGTACTTCACATTCTTGCCACGTGTCAAATACTTATTGGCCAAACATCCCAATGCATGAGCAAGGATGGAGAGATGATCTAAGTGAAGCATGTACACCCACTTGTTGCAGAGGTTTACGGTTCGAATTCAGTGACCGCCCTGATTACTCCGAGCATAATAATCATGGCAATAATACGCCGACTGCATCAAAGCGGATGTTCAAAAATCCCTGATGTTATTCGCAAAGTATTCTATTGCGTGGCAGCGTCAGGGTCTAAATGTGCCAAAGTCAAAAATTACCCGAAAATTACGCAAATGGGATTGTATCTAGCAATCATCACCCCCTACTTGCACACTGATGTGCCAGGTCACTCTTGCAGATTAGACTATCCTGGTCTCTTGAATTCTCACCTGACTAAAGAAAAGAAACCTAAACAAGAAGCATGAAACTGCAAAATAAAAAGTCTTACAACTCACTGAGGTTTTCCTGCAGAAATAAAGGTCAGTATAAATATAAGAATAATTAATGTACAATAATAACCATATGGTGGGTGGAACAATGACACAGTGGTTTGTGCACTGCGCCATGAGCCCGGTCACCAGAATTCGCTTCCTGGCCATTACTAACACCATCGGTGAACGATATCTGAACCAACCAAATGCTGGGTTGACCAACCAGCACTCACCAGCAAGGTCAAATTTGGTCAAACAACCCCCATGATCGAGAGGTGTTGGGAGGCCTTCATCCATCAGAGGGCTTTAAAAATGTGCTTTATTTTAAGACTGGTTTAACATGTAGGCTTTCGCAAACAATATCATCCATGCATCCAGCAGTGAACTGTGAATAGCTGCTCATGATGGTGGTGGTGGTGATGACGATCACGCGAACTCTCAATGGCCTCACCACGCCGCTCAGGGGCACGTGCACAGTCCGGACGCCCGAGTAGTGACGGATGTCTTCATCAATGATGCCATAGTACGGGGTGGGGATGAGGATGCCGTCTGCATGGTAGCACACAAAACACAAAGACCCCCCCGTATAGGCTTAACCTACTGTTTCGGGCAAGTGCTGTTAGCAAACGCCTATGAAAACCGGCATGGCAAACGAGGCGCAGGGTGGCCAGCACCATGCGTGTTTATATAAATGTTTGTATATGTCTCGAAATAGCTCTCTTCATACGCTACAGTCATTTTGCTGGAGCAGTCACACCTGATGACGGATGCTTGTGTTGCTTCCGAAACGTCGTGATTTAATTTAGTTGCTTAATTTTCATTTTATTTTGTTTTCACCTACGTGACTTTACCGAAAAAAAACAAAGAGTATGGATCCGTGCAGTCACGAAAACTTCAAATCTAGATTCAGTCACTCCCCTGGTCATCCGACTCACCTCCAGGGTCACAGAGCACCGCTGATAGAGCCGTGAAGAGGGAACCGCAGCCATTCACCACGACCACCTGAGGAGGGCAGAGAGCAGGTAGATAACACCATTACGTGCTCGCAAAACATTACACTGTGCTTTTTGTGTTGTCACGCGTGTTGTTAGGCACGACGTCCGACGTTTCGCTTCACGTGCTGGGAGCTTCTTCTTCAGGATTGAGCCCAGTTCCTAAAGAAGCTCATAGCACATGGAGAGAAATGTCTGGCCATCGTGCCGAATCACCCGCGGTACAACCTGACAAAAACATCAGCGTCCTGTACAGCACAACCGCGAAAACCCACGCAGGCGTAACGACGCATACCACACCTGAACATCTGGCACTCCATAAGTGTGAATTAAGTGCAAGTGTATAATTTGACACGTTTCATCAAAATCTAAGCTTCCATTACCTTGTTGCAGGAATATCACTACACCCAAACTCACATGCAAATCATTTGACAAGACTTAACAGAGCCTATGATATCATTTTTTTTATCACACTGTCAGACATGTGTCACAAAACAAATTTGAATTAACCACAAAATATGAAATTGCCTCTTTCCCAACATTCGGACTACCGATTGACTTATTTTGGGCCACACTGCCATAAGGAATTACTTGGCCAGACAACTGTTGATGATGCAAACAGAAGGAATTTAATCAACGACTTATTCCGTGCAAAAGTACTCACATTTTCTGAGTCAAGGGGCCTGGGTGCCTTGCAGTAATCGGTTAGGAAACGAGCCATTTCTTTCTTTAAACTATAAAAAAAAAAAATTTAAGCATAAGTTAACAGCACAGCATAACTCACCTCACTATCCAGCATTTATTACAAATGAGATCTTGATAAATAAATAAAAGCGAAGCTCTTTTTAAAAATAAAAGTTAAGAAAAAAACACCAGTTGTTTATATTCACATTTTAGTGTGTACTATAAATGAATGTGACGTATCATGCTACGAGACGTAACGCGTGTGAATTCAAATGTTATGTGCATAGCTCTTAGGCATTAAATAATGCATCGATAAATCATGTACCATTAATTAGTTCGCTTACGATACTTGAACTGAATGGTGCATGTGTGAGAATTTTTTTCCGCTTCAATGCGAACAACCTGCTGCGAGATTTGGTTTACATTTCGTGAACCGGCAGGTCGCGTTGGGGTAACATGCGGCTACTTCCACCTCTTCCAAGGCTTCTATCCATCCTGCGTGGAAGAGTAGGGCAAAATAAAACCCTTGAGAGGGGGCTCTCTAGAACTCCCTCTCGTGGACGCTCTTCCGCCAGCAGCGGCGTGAGCACGCAATTGCAGAGCTGCACCTTTACCTTTTGGATTTAACGCAACGGGGCGGACTTACTGTCTAAATAAGAAACAATTCAAACGAGTACGGTAAAAAAAATGTATAACCCATGCTTGAATCGAATCGTGACCTTGAGTTGTGAAAATTAATCAGATAAATGGCGGGGGAATGAACACTTGGATTAACAGACGTGAACTCCAGCCAGCCATGGTGATACCGTGCACCGTGTACGACTGCGGGAGGAACTAAGGACGCGATCGATGGGGATAACTCACAACGCGTGTCCTCGCCAGTCCCCATAGCACAGCGTCACGGGGTCCACGTGGTACATATCAGGCTGACCCAGCTGCTCCAGAGGCGAACATCACACAACAACAGCAGCATCATCATGTGCCAGTCGTTCATCCCGGCCACCGGCTTCCCGTGAAACCCGGGATCCGACTATAAATATCTTGCTTCTTTAAAATCTGTCAAGGCCTCCCTCCTCACAATCTTGATTTATCTCGGAGAAATCCGTTGAGCTATAGAACTCTTTTTCAAAGATGTCCAGTAATTTTTACAGATGTCCAGTAGTGGTTACTCCGAATGATCACTGTGATCTCAATGCTCTGTAGTTTCCCTCCACACTCCCTTCAATAAAAAAAAAACATTGTCTATGCACTGTCTCTTAAATAAAGGAGTTTACACTTCCTCTGCTGACCATAAGGTTTAACAGCAACTGCATTGCTGTATATATTTCATTATCCTGCTGTTCATGTCGAAGGACCGATCTCCGCTCTCTCACATGAAAATATATGTTTTACTTTGTTGCTGGATCTGCCTTGACGTGTCATTGTTGCTTGTTACAGACTCATGAGTATATACAGAAGTGTGGGTTTGTTTTAGATATACGTACATGTATACTATATGGAGGTGTTGGCGTGCATGGTAGCCTACCCGTGCGGCCATCAAGTCCACAGACAGCTTGTTTTCGCTTGTTCCCAAATTAATGATTCCCTAGAGAAACATAAATGCCAACAAACGAACATTAATATATGAACGTCATCTCGAACAGAGCTGCTGCATAAACTGGGTATGAAAATCATCAATTCAACCTATCCCCCCCCCCACCCCACTATGCATGGACATGATACATCTTTAAAGAACCCATTAGAGTCACAGCATTTCCCAACACTAAACGCGCTTGCCACGATTAATGAATAGATTATGCAAAATTAAATGACACCAATGCTTCTGCCAACTCTGGTGGCCGTGATAACAACGCTAATTACAATGAGCAATAATCATCGTAACACAATTTCTGCGGGCTCTTAACGATTTACTCGCACAACTGCAAAGCCTCGGGGGGGTGGGATGCTTTTGTGTAAATTCCCATGACGTTTAAAAAGCCACGGCATTGGTCGTGTCTCCCTGCGGTGGTGCACCCCCCCGCCCCCCACTTCTCTCCATCTGAAATCGAGCGTAAAACCCATCATCTCTGCTGGCATTGTTGTGTGGGCAAAGAGGAACACACATGGGTTAGCCTGTGCCCCCGTTATCTTCCAGCATACGTGACCAGACATACCAAGCGCACTCAACACACACAGCGAAACGTCTCATTCATCATCATCATTATCCTCATCGAGCGATCATCATTACTGACTGGTCCATCATCAGCCATTCGGGGTTCCGTCACTCCTTCAAGCCTAAATTGACTGTAAACGTTGCGGAGTGAAAGCAAATGCAGCGGGTGACATGACCTGTCCGACATTCACTCGCCGCACAAGGCGTGAAATAAACCCGACAACGATGACGATGAGAGATGAACACGTCGTGAGATGGGGGGGGGGGTGGGGAGGAAACACCGAGCCGCCGATGTTGCATTGAATCCGCTCCTCGCCCTCATCACAACCACACAGGGCGCCTGCTGCACCCATGCACACAATGCACGCCGCATTCACAAGCGCGGCCGCCTCTTAATAGCTGCGCCCAATGGATCTTCCTTCATTTCATTCAGCGCCTTGGCAACCCTGTAGCAAAGATGGAGTGGCTGGACACGCGCACGTATATTTATCAACGTGCGTACGCAATACTGTGTGCGTGCGTGCCGCCTATGTGGTGCAGTAGATGTTTTATTTATTATATATATAGATGTACATCGCACCGACATATCTGTTATATTTGTAGAACCACCACATCTCAATACTGTACTGACAAATGCGACCATGTACACATCTACAAAAATATTAAGCTCGTTCTCAACAACATGTCCCTATGCAGATGTCTGTGTTTATGTGTGTACATGGAGGTGCATAAGCGGTGCTACATCATCCCTGGTACATACATACATACACACCCATCATTGTATCGTGTGTACAATTGCACTGAAGTACACAGGCACAACCTTCAGAGTACACACGTGCCTATGTGCACACAGCATTTCTGCGTAGTACTTATGTGTATGCATGTGCACAGGAGCATTGCCTGCATAAGTACATTCCGTGTACATGTGCACGCAGCAACGGTGCTGTGCAGTAGACACACGTGTGAATGCGTGTATAGATGAATGTGTACCGCACAGCATCACGCGACAACATCGCACGTGCAGATCAGACGCATGAGTGGACCCACCTCCGGATTGTGTTCCTCGTCGAATTTGTTGGCCGAGTACAAGGAGAAGCCATCCTGCAGGATGCCCGTGTAGCTCATGATCCGGTGCCCCCTCTCCGACAAGAACAGACTGCTGCTGCTGCTCCTCCGCGTACCGCTGCTGCTGCTGCCGCATGGATGATGCTGCGTGCATGCGGATGCCGCACCACCCGCCCGCACTGTTCGCTCCATCGGCCACAGTAGCTGTGGCTGCGTGTGTGGGAGAGAGTGAATGTGGGAGTAGCTCTCGACGGATGTCACTGTGCGTGCGACTGTGAATGTCGCTCTGGGTTGTAACTGTGCGTGCGACTGTGAATGCGGTGCAGCCACGGAAGAGAATGTGGGAGTGAACGTGTTGTATAGTTGTGGATGTGTTGCGTGTGTCAATGTCAATTCTGTGGATGCTAATGTGTGTGTGAAAGTGAATGTAGGAATAAGTGAATGTGGGCACCGCTATGGATGTCACTGTGCGTGTGAATGGCTGTATGGGAGAAAATGTGTCTATGGATATCAATGTGGGAATATGGGAGTGAATGTGGAAGCATGCGTTTGTGGGTGTAGATATGATTGTGAATAAAATGTTTTGTTTAGCTATGGATGTAGAGATTTGAATAGAATGGCCAATGATGTGACTATGAAAGTGAGTACGGGCGCAGCTATGGATGTGAATTTGAGCGTGAACGTAGCTAGGGATTTGATTTTGGGTGTGACATTTGGCGTATTTATTGACCTCGTGGAAGGTGTCAATGTGAATGTGGGTGTAGCTATTGATGTGAATGTGGGTGTAGCTATTGATGTGAATGTGGGTGTAGATATTGATGCGAATGTGGGTGTAGCTATTGATGTGAATGTGGGTGTAGCTATTGATGTGAATGTGGGTGTAGCTATTGATGTGAATGTGGGTGTAGCTATTGATGTGAATGTGGGTGTAGCTATGGATGTGAATGTGGGTGTAGCTATTGATGTGAATGTGGGTGTAGCTATTGATGTGAATGTGGGTGTAGCTATTGATGCGAATGTGGGTGTAGCTGTTGATGTGAATGTGGGTGTAGCTATTGATGTGAATGTGGGTGTAGCTATTGATGTGAATGTGGGTGTAGCTATGGATGTGAATGTGGGTGTAGCTATTGATGTGAATGTGGGTGTAGCTATTGATGTGAATGTGGGTGTAGCTATTGATGTGAATGTGGGTGTAGCTATTGATGTGAATGTGGGTGTAGCTATTGATGTGAATGTGGGTGTAGCTATTGATGTGAATGCACAACACGGTATAAACGTGTGAATGTCGGTATAGTAGTGAAAATGAATGGGTGCTGATGTGGATTTGTTTACGAATTTAGCTCTGGAAATGTGTACAAGCTGTAAATGAGGCTGATGCTGCTAATGTAGCTATGGATGGCAATCCAGGTGACTCAGAGATAAGGCTTTTTTTTAGCGGATGCAATGTTAGTCACTGCAGAGAACACAAGCTGTATCTGGGAAAGCAGATGCAGCCAGTCCTTTCGGCTGTGGCTTTATTTGTCTCTGGGTGTCGCTGCATCAATGCCTGTGGACGTGTCCGCTTGTAGATGTTGCCTGTAGGATCAGAGGGACGGACACACACAGGCACATAAGTACAAGGGCACGCGCACAGGCACACTACACTACCACGTGCACACTGGCACATGTCACAAACCGCACAAGCATGTGATGTAAACACAGGCAGGTTACAAAATGTGTGCATAATAAGAATATCCCCCGTATAGCCTTGACAAGACTGTAGGGGCAAGTGCTGTTAGCGAGCACACAACTCGTGCATAAACACGTGTGTACAAACAACCAACGTAAACAATGAAAAAAGCCAAAGAATTGTACGTATATATACTGCATATGAACGCCTGTAAACATTGTGCGTATACACGGCTTTAAACACGTGTACACACCTTGTACTGTACAAACACGTTTGAACAAACACCCTGCACTGTACAGACACGTGTACACAAACACCCTGCACTGTACAAACACGTGTACACAAACACCCCGCACTGTACAGACACGTGTACACAAACACCCTGCACTGTACAAACACGTGTACACAAACACCCCGCACTGTACACACACGTGTACACAAACACCCTGCACTGTACAAACACGTGTACACAAACACCCTGCACTGTACAAACACGTGTACACAAACACCCTGCACTGTACAAACACGTGTACACAAACACCCCGCACTGTACAGACACGTGTACACAAACACCCTGCACTGTACAAACACGTGTACACAAACACCCCGCACTGTACAAACACGTGTACACAAACACCCTGCACTGTACAAACACGTGTACACAAACACCCTGCACTGTACAAACACGTGTACACAAACACCCTGCACTGTACAAACACGTGTACAAAAACACCCTGCACTGTACAAACACGTGTACACAAACACCCTGCACTGTACACACAAACACCCTACACTGTACAGACACGTGTACACAATCACACGTGACCACAACAACACTTCGTCGCGCTCAAGTACCAGCTTACGGCCATGCCGACATCGCAGCGGACACTACCAAGGCAGCACTTGCGTCTATGCACGAGCTGTAGACGTGTCATCCCCGCGACGCGAAGTTGCCATTCGCTTCCGAGTCGGCCACGCAACGGAGACCGGCAGTGAAAGTGGTGGTGGTGGGGTGGTGGGGGGTAGTGGTGGGGGAGTATTTGTCCGCATCAACCACACAAACACTCTGGCCCCGCTGTCGGGGCAAGCCGGGGGGGTTGAGTCGCTTAGTTGAGGTCCGTCATAAACGACGATTCGACGGTGGAGGTGGTGGTGATGGTGGTGGTGGGTGGTAGTGGGTGGTGGTGGTGAGTAGGGGAGGTGGTGGTGATGGTGGTGGTGGTAGTGAGTGGTGGTGGTAGTGGTAGTGAGGGGTGGTGGTGGTGAGTAGGGGTGGTGGTGGTAGTGGGTGGTGGTGGTAGAGGTGGGTGGTAGTGGGTGGTGGTGGTAGTGTGATGGTGGTGGACTGGTGGTGGGTGGTGGTGGTAGTGGGTGGACTGGTGGTGGGTGGTGGTCGTGGGTGGTGGGTGGTGGTGGTAGTGGATTGGGGGTGGTGGTAGTATGATGGTGGTGGTGGTGGTAGTGTGATGGTGGTGGTAGTGAGTGGTGGTGGTGGCGGGTATAACTCAACACAAATCGCAGAGGCTCCTTCACCGACCGAGTTCGTTCTCTTCCTCCCCACTCACCCACCCCACCCCTCTCACCCACCCCACCCCTCTCACCCACCCCACCCCTCTCACCCACCCCACCCCTCTCACCCACCCCACCCCTCTCACCCACCCCACCCCTCTCACCCACCCCACCCCTCTCACCCACCCCACCCCTCTCACCCACCCCACCCCTCTCACCCACCCCACCCCTCTCACCCACCCCACCCCTCTCACCCACCCCACCCCTCTCACCCACCCCACCCCTCTCACCCACCCCTCTCCCCCCTCTCCTGCCGCCTCTGGTGTCCACGCTGCCCCCCCACGCCACCCAGTGGCCACCCTGCGTCAGTGCGGGCTGCAGGAGCCGGTTGGGGTTTTCTTGGGGGGAATGCGATCGATCAATCGATAATATTATCACCCGCGCCCGTCAAGCCCTCGTCAACATTAAATACGAAACTGCAACACGGCCACGTGTCTCATCGGGCTCGCTTGTTAAGAGTTTGCTCGTCTTGTACAAATTACAACTGGATAGCATCATCATTAGACCTCCTTTGCCGGTTCCAAAGTATAATAATTGGGCTTTTCCACTTTTTTCTGGCAACAAAACGCCAAAAGGTCATTTGGCATCCTCTGGTCGAGCACCAATTGGGTCGAAAGAAAGCAGTCCCTTGGTGTGGACCAGTGATGTCGACTCAACCTCATATGAGTAACCTGGGGAGACAAAGGCGGCCGGGCGTGGTGCTGGCCACCCACTCCCTCGTGTGCCGTGCCGGCCTTCATACGTGCTCGCTAACAGCACTTGCCGCAACATTCTGTTGAGGCTACACGGGGTATCTTTATACTGGTAGGAACGAAGTGGACCAGACCACCAATAGATTAATGTGTCCGTCCGTCCGTCCGTGGGAGGGGTGGTGTTGAGGGTGGTGTTGGAAATTAAAGACTACGAGTCTTTAAATCTCACAGCGTTTCTTGTCAAAACAAACACTTTTAATTAACGTTACACTAGAATACAGTAATTTTTTCTTGAACTCCTCTATACCCGGTCGATATCTCTGTACCGGTACTAAGTATTATTCCTACCAGCCCACCCCGCAGGGTCCTGTTCTTTGCAGTATAAATCGTTCCCACTCGTGCCGCTGGACGGGAGGTGGATAAAGTAAACTATTTTGTATTTCACCAGGCAAGGCCCACTGAGCTTTATAAATCTTTGTCAGAACCGACCTGGCCACAATTGATAGCCAAACGAAAGTGGCTTGTCATCATGTGGAAATTTATATCAGCCAAATACTCTGAACGAACGTCGATTCTAAAATGTGGAGGAAAAATCCACGCAACTACGGGGACCGCATGTTGCGTTGGATATGTGATTGATAATCAATTACCCGACCAATAATAATGATCGGTTCGATTAGCCGGCTAACGGCCAATACGAAGTTAACTGGGAGATTAATTTAGTTTCCCACTTGTGCCGCAATAAAGTAGTCTTCTAATTATGTATTGATTATCAACTTAGTCGTGGGCCACAACTTACCTGCAGGTCTGGGTCCATGAAAGATGCGGGGAGCGGTGTTCAGAGGTGACGAACTGGAAGGGAGGATTTGTAGGAGTTTTAGACTCTACCCAGTTGCAATGGGTAACATTGGATGATCGTGGCAGGAGGGCCCGATGGGGGCTAGATAACGGTGGCAGATGACAGAAAAAAATACCAAGATCCGGACCTGAGCGACAGCTTTGGCTTACTCGTAGCCACATTGATCAGTTTCACCTAGTGTTGTGAACTCTCACCACTTGCCATATGGCCCTAACGTCGTTGGTTTTTGTAACGCGAGTTACCTTAATAATCATTTCTGCCTAGGAGAGTCCTCATTAAGAGACTGTGGCGGTGGTTCTTTTTCGGCCCAAACATTACAGTCGCCCGGATGGGTCACACTCCATTAACAGTGACATGAATACATCGTCAGCATGCTGGATGGTCTCCACAAGCAGTTACCAATCCATCATTGTCCTGTACACGATCTGATTTATGGTATTAACATTTTACATACATAAATAAATACATGAACAACTGTTATTGTTTACAGTGTAAATTATCTGATAAGACATCAAATAAAATACATCCTTTACCCATCACAGCTTTGCCGAATCTCACGACTCATTTTAAAGTGTCCTCTATTGTGATGTTTGGTCAATTCCATTGAGCATTCCGTCTCGGAGATGTTAACTGCAGAACTGGTTGAGAGATTGAGACAAGTGGACAGTGGCCAACAACATTGCTGTGCCCATATCTTGAGGTCTTGGTGTGTGGAATGAGGTCATTGCAGGTTGCCGACTGGAGATCATAGGCAAAAACTGATATCACACACGTCAGCCAGATGAGATGGTGCAGATGTAAACACGTTCAGATGAGCATGCACGGCTTGTAATCCATCCTCTGCTGATTTGCCAACCAGTAGTGTAATGTATTACAGCACACAGTTGTTTCAAATTGTATAATTTTCTTTATTTTAAAGACAAACGCAAAAAAGGACAGATTCCTTTTTTTCTCAAACTGAAAAATAGAGAAGAAAAAGCCCAAATGTGTTTCAGTAGTGTATATTGTACGAGAAAATGATAACCAAAGGACTTTATTTCAACATGCATTCTTAAACACGCTGTTTGCA